TGTGTGAGGGTGTTTGTGTGAGGGTGTGTGTGCGTCCCGGCACCCGTCACACCACCCAGAACACCGCTCCTCTTCCAGGTCCTCCATCCTGAGTGAAGTTTCTACCCGGTCAAGATCTAAATTGCCATCGGGCAAGAATATTCTTGTTTTTGGTAAGTAGCATATGGGGGTGGTGGGTTGTTTCGGAGGTTTCTTTTTTGTAGAAACAAAGTGTGTTTAAAACAATGATGCGAAGGAGCTGACCCATCAGGTTGTGTTATATAAACTCTGGTATTTTTGTCTTCAGGCTGGTGGGTTTACGTTCTTTCTGGTGTATGCTGTTAGATTTATAACAGATCTAGACTTTTGTTTATATCTAAACAAATGCAGTGTAACACAGAATATTGAAGAGCTTCATTCCTGTTGTCATGATATAAGCCATTGCTTTTAGCTGGGATACTTGGAGGAAAAAAAAAAACACAAATAAAATATCCGTGGCCCCAAAATGTACAATGATACTTCTCATTACTTAAGTGTGTCTTCAAAAATCTTTTCTGCAAAGTTAAAGTTAATTCTGAAATTGCCTTTCTTCCCTGTAAAAACTTACTGGCAGGTGATGATGGTTCAGGTAAAACCACGCTTATGGCTAAAATACAGGGAGCAGAGCACGGCAAGAAAGGAAGAGGCCTGGAATACTTGTACCTAAACATTCACGATGAAGACAGAGATGGTAAGTTCATTTTACATGTAATCTCTTTGCTGTAATTAAGGAGCTGACGTGCTTTCTCTCTCACTGCGGTTTCATCAGTGTATTTTGGGTCACGCCCAGGCAGTTGATGCCGGCGTTGTTGGGTATGTTTTAGAAGCTGTATCAGTGTCTTAGAAGTGAAATGCACTTTGTGTCCGATGTACCTTCCCCCCCTTGCCCTTCTGAGGGCTTGACCTGTGCGTGAGGAAGAGGTACACGTGAGCAGCGCTCGGGATCCATTTACTTTTAGGGCAGATCCATTTGCTGATGTTGACTTATTGCAGATAGATTGTGGTTTGGTATGACTCCTCGATAACCGTGGAAAGTAACTGATACAGCCAGGAGAATTTAATTCTCAGGAGGGATTTGGGGGCGTCAGGGGGGTTGGTGTTTTCTCACAGAGGGTGGGTGCAGAATTTTGGTTAACTGTAACGGAGACATTAGAGTTTGAATGAGTGAAGAACAGAACACAAAGTCAGAATTAGTATTTTCCTTTCCCAAATTGGAGCTTGTTTCATTGCCCCTTGTCTTTCTCTTTGTGGCTGTTGATGCTTGTTCTTCTCTACTATGTGAGAGGGGGATGATGACAAGAGACTGTTTAAAAGCAGGTCTAATGATCCGAGTACTCCTATTTTTAGAAAGGTTAGGGACAGGAAGAGATGGGGAGTGAGTTTGATATCCTTGCTACTAGATCTGCTTCTGCTTGTCTCATTCGGGGCAAACGGCTGGACCTCTTTGTATTACTTTTCCTCTTCAAAAACAGGGAATGACAATCTTCCTGTTCACAATTTCCTTCTGAGTTCTCAGCTCAGAAGAGGGGAGCAATGGTGGTGGTTCACCCGTGTTGCTGAAAACAAAGGTACTAGGAAGATCCTGTAATGGCATTTTGGAAATGGAAATGTACTGAAGGCTTGCACGAGTGATTAAGTGCCATATGTGACTGGTTGTTATGGAGATTGGTCCCGCGCTCACGTGGTAATAAACTCTCTGGATACTAAGTTAGGCACAACTAAAGGATGAGGACATTGCCTGCGTCTTCAGTGGACAAATAATCTTCCAGTTCCTAAAAACCCTTTGTGCTGTGTTTTTAAGTGCTGAGTCGTTCCTCAGGTTCTTGGTGTAAGTGCTTTCTCACCGTGCGCAATCTTCTTGAGTGCTGCATAAATACGTCAAGGGGGAGAAAAATCCCCTATGGTGAGGAGCATTCAGAGAGCCTGTGACACCAGGCTTCTTGCAACATCAAAGGGGATGGTATTATAAGCAGAAAAATGTTTGGTCTGCTACTTTTCCTGGTGCTGTCTATCAAGCCTCAAGGATGTCCCTACTTTGGAAGTATTTTGGGGCTCTTCCTGGGTATCTGGAACTAAGAAGTATTTGCGGTGATTAGGAGAAGCCTGTCATAAGAGCTCAGACAGCACTAGCAGGGAAAAAAGGGACATTTTTGACTACCAGGCTCAGCTGGAGAATTCAGGTCTTCATGCATCCCTGTAACGGATGTGTTAGGATCTAATAATACACGCCTTCTTCCTTTCTGTCTCATTAGTGTCATCAGCAAGCAAAATAAATAGCAAAGTGGGTCAGGACCTCCCAGCAGGCAAAGATAACGCTCTTCCTTCTCTAGGACAGGTTTGATTCTGCCTCTTTAAAAACTTTGCAGACTTTAGATGCGTATTTGCTCAGGTAGAGATTTAGGAACAAAGCCTTTGTAATTGACCCACAATTTTTTGAGGCCATAAAGAATCAGAAAGCAGGCGTTTAGGAGCTCACTGTCACATACTCAGTTTTGAGGGGATCTCCTTTTTATTATACCCCAACCTATTCAGGACCAACAAACCACAAGGCTTTCCAGGGGTGTCAAATCCCTGGTAACTGAAACTGTAGTGGAGTGAGAGATCTCCAGCTTCTCTCCCAGGTACCGGAAGCTTGTTTTGCTCTCTTTGCCTTTTTTTATCTTCGTTTCAGAAGAGTTTATTCTGTCCAGGAGAAATATTTTGGTCAAAGTGCCGAGTCACTGTCTACCTCAAATCTCCCTTTGGAAGTCTTAAGGAAAATCTGTATTGCTTCTTGTCTCCTCTGCCCCTTCCTCCTTAAGGCATATTTGATTCTGGCTCCTCCTACACTGAAGTAGAATGACTCTCAATTGCTAGGTGTGGATTTTAGTTTACAGTCACTTTTGTCTTTTTCCCTAAAGATTAGATCAGTGATTAAATTGTTCTTTTATATATATATAAAAAAAGTTAAACCAATGTGTAGAAAACACCTCTTTTTTGAAGGAACCCATGGCTGACACAGATGCTCACTACCTTTTTGGTTTTCACCGTCATCCCCTTGTTTTGTGGCAGAGGCTGGTCCCCAGCTCAGATGGCAAGATGCACATCACCACTGCGTTTTGTGCCAATTTTATGCCTTTCTTTGTGATGAGCAGATGCTTTGTATCTCTGCTGGTTAGTCTGGGGATCTTAGAATTAAGAATCTTAATTTTTGAGAGCTGAGACTCTTAATTCGTAGGAGGCAGCAGAGAGGCTCTGCGTAATTTCGTTAAAGGACATGTGTTTCTAGAGTAGCCGTCAGTGTCTGGCGGTGCTGGGGCAGGGCTAAGGTGAGGATGTAGAGGCAGGCAGTGAGACAAACTCCCTGGACTGGTTTTGTGGCGGTGCTCTATGGGTTACCTGGCAATTAAAAGCGCTGTAGAGCACTTTCGGGTGAACTGCCTCAAATTACCAGTGCAGTGCAGTTCTCCTGACTCTGCCAAATGTGCCAACCAAGCAGAGCCGTTCTCTTGTGGCGTTCTTACTTGTAACAAAATCAGGTAGTCTTGGGGTTTTGCCTCAGGTTTGGACTGGCCTCAGTCATATCATATGCATATTCCAGTTGAACTGGTTGTTCCAGGTTGAGCCAAGTGCTGCTGGTATACCAGTTTCTAATGGGGAAATTGGGGGGTTTTTTTGTCAACATCTTGAGATTAGTTTTCTTGAAAATTATTTTTCCCTGTTTTGCTTCTCTTGACAGCTTGGACAAGGGATATCTAATCACCCTGATACCTTTTGAGTAGAGGCGGGAGATGTAGTTGCAGTTCACAGGATCGACCATCTGTAGTAAAATTCATCAAAGCTGGAAACTCTTCTTCGTGGCTGAAGGGATAATGAAATATTCACAGGATTAAGAATTGCAGTTTTAGCAGCTATTTTAATGGTCTTTAGTAGGTAGCACCTGCTTTTCCAACAGGCTCTGGTAACTGTTTGCCCTGGTTTGGTGTCTTGTGTTGTAGCTGCTGTGAAAGGCCCCGATACCATTCACATCATCGGACTAATTGGAGCTTGAGCTGGTGCTGACAAAGTTGAATTTGCCATCGAGTCCTCACCAAACTGTGAACCACCAGTACTGTATTTTTAAGGGTGTTTTCTATTTGTAGCAAATGTAAATCACGAGCCATAGGATCATAGAATGATTAGAGTTGGAAAGGAGGAAAACCTTTCATTTTCATACAGTGTTATCTTTTTTTAAAGTACATCTTAGTGTGAGTGCTAGGCTCCCAGTTCCCCAGCAGATTGATTTCATTTGAGTGATAGTTCCAACTGCATTCTGGTTCCACCTCTATTCTAGTTCCAGTCTGTATTCTAGATGTTAAGCAGAAACTGAATCCTTAAGTAGGACAGAGGTGTTTAGCAAACAAAACCTTGGTAACCTTTAGAATTTGGCTGAAAAAAGTGACTTAGCAGTGAATTAGGGTATTTAATAATTTTTGTTACTTGCTGAGGTGTGAAAGTCTTTGCTGTGATGAAAGCACTGCCACAGGAGAAACTATGGAAGTGCTGCTGAGAGCTGTAAACTTTCATAGACTACGGGTAGACTTCAGTTCAGTTTTTTAAACTTTCATATTTGCTTCAAAGCGACAGTTGTGCATAGACCTAGTTAATGTCTGTTAATCACCTTTCACTCCTAGAAAGCTGACAGGGCCTTTATTCCCTGGTAGGTTTCTGCTTTTGGGAATATACAAAGGCTGCTTCTGGAATGCAGAGGACAAGAGAGTCCTGCAGAGATGTTTCATTTACTCTTGTGTAACCATAAACCTGTGACAGTGCTCACATTATGTCCGGGCTTCCTTGCTGCTTTTCCAAACTTTTACTAGTCTTTCCGAGAGCTTTAGTTTGGTGTATCCAGTGCTGTGAGAATCCCCTGTGGTACCAGGGAGATGGTGTCCAACAATTGATGAATATGCAGATTTCTTAGATACAAGACGATTATTCAGACTGTTTACTGCAAAGGGTGAATCCACATTTGGAAGAAAGAAGATCTTTAAGTTAAAGACATACCTCTCGGCCTGTGTGTGTGCTGGCTGATGCTGGAATGTCTCATGACAGCCTGACAGCAGGAGCATCGCAAATGCTAAATGAAGTCTGCCCACAGATAGATCTTGATGTAATCTGGCTGTAACTTGGCTGCTCAGTAATTCTACGCAAGACCTGATTAGCAAGGTAGTATGTATATCTCTGCTCTTTTTTTTTTTCCTTTTTCTAGAGGCAGTGTTTTTGATGGATTCTTTCTTAAAGTTATGATAGCCGCAGCAACTGGATTTATTTTGTGAAGTTAAAAGATCTGGAGCACAGGGCAGGGAAATGTAGTGAGGCAGAGTAATGGTGAAGCTCAGTGGCTGTTTTGAGAATCTTGGCTCTGCTGCAGTGATTGTTTTGCTGACCCATGTAGTTCAGAATTCACATATCTAGTATGTAATATCTATGGAGACCCCCTGTTCCCTCTGGACAGCTGTAGTGGAATGGGAACTACTTTGGAAGAGGTACTAGGAAGAGTCTAGAAGATAGAAACAAATGGAGTTGTTCCTTTTCAGGAGGAAGTTCTGAGGATAATGTAATTTTTTTTTTAATTTGGGCAGAATTGGTTGTTCAGAGTGTCTGTCACATCATTCCTGGATGGTGCTCCCTTTCCAGTTTCTTCTGTTCTTCCTCATGTTTGGGATAAAGCTTCTCCTGCCAGCTGTCTGTCCGAGCTGATTCTTCTCACCTCCTCACCTTGCATTTCAACAAAAAATACCTAATCACTATCAAAACACTGGGGGGAGAAACATAAAAACTAAAATACCAGCTCTTTTGTAAGGAGTCTGAAAGCAGGAGCCAAGTCAGTGTGAATTAAGAGCAGGTTGCCCAACTTCAAAGTTTGGTGTGTTGTAGTTTATCATGTCTTTGCTGCTCCTCCTCCTGTGCAGGAAACCTAAGCTGCTTACTGCCTGCATCTTGTTTGTGGCTTAGTTCTGCTGAGAGATGTTAAACCAGCTTATGTGTCTGAGGGACAGAGAAGGCTTCTCTGCGGGGCTCGGTCCCAACCACCCCCTTCTGAACTTGGAGCTGCATGTGTGTCACTCGTATTCTGCTTTTACTTGGAATATGCATATTTCAAATTCAGGAATGCTGTGCAGCGTCTAAAAACCAGTGTGTCAGCTGGCCTTAGTAAAAGGCAAAGCACAGAAGTTATTTTTTTAAACGAAAAGATTCTGAACCAAGAAAAAAATCCTGTTAAATGAAAGCATCTACTGAGTAACGTCGATATTTATGCATCTTTTGAAAATAAACAGGCAAGATTTCTGGTAGCTTGGCTTTGGTCTTTCATTTAACACCGAGGTGCTCATCTCTTTACTGTGAGGAAGGCAAAAAGTTGGCATCTGTGGAGTTACAGCTGTACCTTTTCCTTTCAGATCACACTCGCTGCAACGTTTGGATCCTGGATGGAGACTTATACCATAAAGGGCTGTTGAAGTTTGCGGTTTCGGCGGAGTCCCTGCAGGACACCATTGTAGTCTTTGTGGCAGATATGTCTAGACCTTGGACTGTTATGGAGTCTTTACAGAAATGGGCCAGTGTCTTGCAAGAACATATTGATAAGATGAAAATTCCTCCAGAAGAGATGAGAGACATGGAACAGAAGTGTAAGTCTTTTGGCACCTATACATTCTTGTCTCTTTTTAAAAAAAAAATAGCTCTCACACCTTTCTTATCACACTGATAAATTTCTTCAGATTAGCATTTTGAGAATGGGTTGGATAAGAATTACTCTGAAGTTGTGATTATGGCTCTAATTCAAGTAGACTCTAGTTGGCTTTAAACAGCTCTTCCAGTTTTGCTGTGCTAACGAATCACCAGCTGAATTAAGGGTCTAAATCCCTTGCAGTAATGAGACTTTGATAATTTGATTTTTAAAAGGCCAATTTTTAAAAAACTAACTCCATACAGAATCACACTTTTTAAAATTGTGACAGAATCCAGTAATGAAGTGAGCAGTCTGTCTAAGCCAGGTCCCGTTCCTGTGCAGGGCTTGTCTTCCAGGAGCTCTCTCTGCCCCTGTTTTTCCCCGAGCCTGGGACTGTGCTGCTGGTACATGTGGTTGTCTCTCACTACAGCCACCCCTACCCTCTGACTTCAGGAACGTTGTGTAAATTAACTTTCTTTCCTGGCATATCCGTGTCAGGAAAGAATGTGGCACTTGGCAAGCAGTCATCGCTGCAGTATTGTTTCCTGCAGCTTCTTTTCTTTCCTAAAATAGTTCTGAATGTTGAGACTTTTTTTCTGTTTTCATATTGAATTACTCCAAAATAAATTCCTTGGGTGGAAAAGACCTTAGCAACATGCATTCCTTTTCAGCTGAAAGTGTAGATTCCCCCTCATCCTTGCTGGGTGCTGCTTTTGCTCAGGGGGAGTGGCTGCTGTGCTGCAGAGTTTAAACCTTGCAAAGAGTGTCTGGTCGCTGCCTTACACTCACTTTAGGGAGCAGTGTAATGTGTTTGGCATGTGAGGGTTTGGATAGATTTGGAGAGCTCATCTCCCTTCTGAGTGCTAAATACTGCTTTCCCAAAGGGCTAGTGCCTACAGCGTGCCACCCAGACTTTAAACTTAAAGATTGACACCACCTGGCTGTGATCACCAGGTTATATTAAAAAAAAACAACAAACAACCTGACAACTTTTAAGGGAAAAAGTTTGGGGTTTTTTTGCACATGTGAGAGATTTTTTTGGGAATGGGAGATGGAAAGGCAGTTCTAGTCTCAAAATACACTAGCTGACACAATTTGCACTTCCCGAGACACACCAAATTTTGTGGCAATCCAAGTAAATGCAGGATTTGTGCATTTAAATCTTACTTTTGGAAAGAGAAGTGTTCTCAGCCTTTACTGAGACAGTACTGTGTGGAGGAGCCAGTTATAGCTACGGCAAAGCATTAGCACCGTGTTTGGGGAACTGAGGCATTCCAATAGTATTGGCTTAGAGATTTCTATATTATTCTAAATCGTTTATTTCTAAATTAGCGTAGAAATTCCTGGTTGCTGTTGTGCTTTAATAGAGTTGAGGGAAAAGGAGAATTTGAGAGCTGCCCAGTTCACATGTTTGCAGGACTCCGTGGCCATCCTGTGATGAAAACCAGAGGTGAAACTGGGTCCTGCATCAGTCTGCAAGTAGAACAGGGGCCTCAGTGTCTCCCCTCCCAAACTTCCCTCTCTCTCCTTTTCTTGGGCTCCGTGTAGGACACGTGTGTCATCTCAGATGCTTGTCTTCTGAGTTCTTGCAGAAGACCCCAGGCCAGATCCGTGCTCAAAGCGTTGGCCACCGTAGCTTGTAATTCTCTGAAGAGCAAATTATATCTGTGTAACTGCTCGGAGAGCACAGAGCACACGGGCATGAAGAAGGCCTTGTGACTACAGTCCATCAATAAAGCTACACCAGCACAGTTTTCCTCTTCCTGAGATAAACTACCATTTAAAAATGGAGAATCGCTGTGTTGTAACACCCTGGCTGTGAAAAAACTGGGATAATAAAGGGCTTATGCAAAGTAGGGAGTCAAAACCTAGAAAGAGGGTGCAGGCTGGAGTGTGCAGGTCCCCAGTGTGACCAGCAACCAGTCCTTCTTGTTGACCCCAAGAAGACATTTTCTAGCATTATCCCATAAGCACACCTTTCAGGTGCTGCTGGGTTGCTTTCTCCATTACTAGGATCTTGTGACCAGCTTCCAGAAATCCTTTATTTGTCTGACCCTTCCCGGTGGAATGAACTTTGGACTGCTTGTCTCTGCTCCCAAGGTTTTCGTGGCCTCTCTCCACCCAGCCTTTTGTCTTGTGTTTGCTATTTGAGATCCTGGCTCTTGGCTGGGTGACGTGGGGCTCCATCTGGTACACGAGAGGCTTTCCCTTGTGATAAAGAGCTCCCAGAACGGGAGGCAGGACACACAGACGGAAGCAACAGGCTGCCTTGAAAGAAATGGAAATATTTAGAGTATCCCAAGAGCGTTGTTTGTCTGCGCTCACTCCTGTCACTGAGCTGCTCTGGAAATTCCTCGCTAAAACCTTGATTAATGTGGATTCAGATAAATAGTGTTAATTCAAATGTTGCATTTTAATTCAATCTCGATTATGACGAATCATTGTTTATACGGGACACATGTGAATATTTATTTCAGGGAAGTTCTAAATTTTGCCTCCCTGTTTATGACAGCAAAGCAGAAAAGACAACTATCAAGAATCAAGAAGTGCAGAAAGGAAGTACGCTGGTAACATGGCTATTCTGTTAATGGTCTCTGGAGCGTTGGAAGCTAAAGATGTGAAACACAGTAACACTTTTCTGAAAATTAAGTAGTGTCCCATTCAAGCTGAATTAGTTTGAAGTTCTCTGCATTTTCTTTTTTTTTTTCCTGACATACAGCTGAAAGAATTCTTAAGCTAAAAGATAAAAAAAAAACTTCCTTTGCCCTAGGAATTCTTTTCACAAGACTAAAATTTATGATCAGTAAGGATAGCACACCAAAAGGTTAAAAGTGTGTAAATTGATTGTGAAATTGAGTGCAAATATGGAACGATTGTCTCAGGTTTCCTGTGTTTTTCTTGTTCTGCTGTTGAGTGCTTTTGTGATCCATCCAGATCAGTAAGTTGTGGTTTGTCTGCCATTTCCTTATTGCACTTAAACAGGACCAAGGATTGTTTTGTTATTTTTATTGTCATATTGTTGTGACAAACCTAAGACTAATTGTGAATCCCTTTCTTGGTGGTACTTGGCTCAGTTGCTCCTGTGACATGAAGGTACCTCCACTCTTGTTCTAGTTGGCTTCCGGGAGCTTGTGTAAACGAGCAGTAACATGAGACCCAGACACTGAACTGGGAACCTGCATTTGTTTGCTCTTTCATTTATTTAGCAAAAGGCTAAATAAAAGGGTTTTTACCTAGATAACCCACAAGTTTGGTAGATAGATTAGCACGCTGCAGTGGAGGTGTGATTTTTATGACATACCATGACCTGTTGATAATTTTTCTAGTGTCAGGCCATTCCTAGTACTCAATCTTAGTGACAGGTAGCAGAGCATTACTGAGTTGTCAAATGAATGGCAGCAGGAGTTTGTGACAATGTGCCACCACATTTCTGAGGTTTCTATGTTGCATTTGCTGTCATTTCTATTAGTAAAATTCTTGGGGTGTCTTGAGTTTGTGTGATACTGCCAGAGACTTACTGTTCTCAAGAGAGGCTTTCCTTGCCCAAGTTTGAGGGGGTTTACACTAATAGATATCTTGGTAAAGATTTCTCTGCTTTGATGTGAACAAAGCCTAGGAAACTACTGTTGTCTGATTACAGTGCTGTAGCAGACTGAGAACAGTGTTGTCAAATACTCTTTTACATCTGATTAAGCCAGAGAGGCTTATCTGAATGATTGTACTGGGCATAAATGGTGCTCTTTCTATCTGCTGATAATATACTTCAATAGGTTTTTTCTATCCTGAGCTAGGAAGAGTCAGACTTTAAACCTTTTTCCAGTTAAATGCTCTGGAATTAATTTGCTTTCTGTGAGACAATTAGTAAATGTACCTAATGTGCAGAATATATAATGGAATTTTGATTTCTAGTTGTTGAGTATGGAAAGGTACTGGAGGAAAGCATCTCTGAAAGCAGCGCTGCTTCCTCTCCACCAGAAGGCACTGCCTCCCCAGGTTTAGAAGCAGCTGCATCCCAGTTTCTTTTCTATTTCCTTGGACCTTGGGATGTGTTGAATTGATGGTTGAACGTCTTAGGGTCTTTTTGACGGAGTTTTTAAAGCCTTTTTCTGGACTAGAGAAAGAAAAGAGTTTTTCACAAGAATCACACATACTTCTAATAATAACTGTAGACAGTGCAGCTTTGAACAGAAGTGTTCTTCTGATTTGCTCTTCCTTCCACGTGCCCGTTCTGTGGCAGGAAGGGTTCTGTTCTGAAAAGCTGCAGTGCCTTCTCTTTACAAGATTTGTATTACGTACTTTTCTGAGGCTTTACCACTTCCTAAGCCTCAGCAGCCTCGGCTGCCCTGCAGCAGAGTGGCAGTTCCTCCCCTGGCCCATGGATGGATGGATGAACAACGTTCTCTTTGTGAATGCTCTGGAGATGGGGAGCTTTCTCAGAGAGATCTCCTCACCGTACGTCCAGCCCCAGCTCCCCCCAACTCTGAAATAAAGATGCCTTCACGGGGGCAACCCATGGGCTCCTTGGTGGGGATGGAGGCTCCAGGTGGGGGTGTCACAGGAGGGACAGCCCTGGCCGTTGGGAAGCCCTGCTGTGCCAGGGCACGGGGACAGCCTGGACCCAGGTTTGTCTGCTCTGTGGCTTCCACCTTTTACATCATTTTTGCAGATGAAAGTTGCAGCCTGGGTTTGATGAGCGTGTGTGGGGTCACAGCACCCAGAAATAATAGTATTTGATAAGCACGTCAGTATTTGCCAGCATTCAGTATTACTGGAACACTCATTGTTACCATAACGTTAAAATACTGAAAGCATAGAAAGCATCTCATTTCCTCTGGACTCCACTGTCTTTTTCCAGACGATAACCGAGTTTCTTCAGATAACATTTAGAAGTCCTTGAGTCTGTATTTATGCAGTGTATTTTTTATATTTCTAGCACTGGACTCCTGCAACAGAAATGTAGAGTAATAGAAACTTGAGTAATGGTTTATAAGAAAGGGTGGCTGTTTCAGCTGGGTGGTTTCTGTGCCCATTGATGTTTTCACCGTGCTGTCTTCCAAGAGCAGGTACAGATTGCCCTGAGCAGAGGCTGGGTTGCTAAACTGCATCTCCACTTTCTGTTGTCAGCTCCCCTGGAACGAAAAGGGTTGAGTTGAGGAAGGTGCATTTGTGCATTCTGTAGCTCTTGCAGCTACTTTGGAGTATCTGTAATAGCTCCAAATTGCGCTTTTCCATGCTGTAAATTTTGGAGAACTCTTGTTTGAAGGGACAACAAGGCTTAAGCTTGTGTTCTGTTCTCATGTAGTGACTTGTTATAAAAGGAGAAAAACCTTGAGATATCTAGTTAACCATAGATTAATTATGATTTAAAAAGAAGAACCAGTTCCTTCGTTGTACCTTAAGAAGATCTCTCTCTTAATAGTTATCAAGGAGTTTCAAGAGTATGTAGAACCTGAAGAAGGCTACCAGGGGTCACCGCAGCGACGAGGCCCTTCGTCTGGCCAAGAGGATGAACACGTTTCTTTGCCGCTTGGAGAAAACGTGCTGACTCACAACCTGGGGATTCCTGTGCTGGTGGTTTGTACAAAAGTGAGTTTCTAGCTCCTTTTGCTGCTAGGGAAAAATTGAATTACTTCTCTTTTAGAAGACATGCTTTGTATGGATGTACAAAACGAGGTCTGGATTACTAGTAAGGGGATTTATTTTAAAAACTAAGTTTCTGCCACCAGTATCAATTTTTAATTTTGCAGAAGAGTAATAACCTTATCAATTACATGTTAATTACTTTATCTTTTGGTTTATCAGTGACATTTTAAAGCTGAAGGCCCGAAGTAAATATGATGTGTGGGTATTAAGGAAAAAGTTTTAAGATGTGCTGGAAGTAAATGACTGGGTTTTTCTGGTTTTGTTTTCCTGCCTTCCCTCCAGTGCGACGCGGTGAGTGTATTAGAGAAGGAGCACGATTACAGAGAAGAACACTTCGACTTCATTCAGTCACACATCCGTAGATTCTGCTTACAGTGTATCCTTTCCTGCTCCAGAGAGATGGAAACCAGGGAAACACCTTTTGGTGTTGAATTGCATATAACGTTAATCTGAGAAATTGCACTTCAAGATTGCTTGGTATTTAGGTATTTACTGTGTAGCACTTGTTTTGAAAATGGTGAGAGATATGTAAAACTTTATTATAGATTTTAAATTTTGCATGGGATTTGGAGCTTTTCCTTTACAAAGGACTTGTCTTGCACTTTGTGAGGTGCTTTTGCTAGATTTTCCCTCAGAACTTGCAGTTTCCACATAAACATGAGATCTCAGCTGTACCTCAAGTTTTTTGACTTTTTCAAAGTTAAGTGCCCAGGGAGGGAAGGCAACTTGTGTATGTCAAAGGAAAGTATCATGAATCTTCTCCTCTTGGACCCCCTTCCTCTCCCTGAATTCTGAATGGCCATCGCTTCTGCCTTCGACTGCTCCTCAAAATTACATCCAGTAGATGTGGGGCCATTAGGTCCTGGTTTGGAATTCTTAATATAATTGAAAAACTGTATCTTACAGCGTTTTCCTTAAATAAGTAATCAGATGGGGCTGCCTTGATTTATACATCGGTTAAGGAGGAAAAGAACCTTGATCTGTTGTATAAGTACATTGTACATAAAACATACGGTTTCCAGTTTACCACACCTGCCTTAGTGGTAGAGAAGGATGCAGTTTTTATGTAAGTCAATTGTATAAGCAAGATTTCAGCTTGTTTTCTATTAAGCACTACACTTCATATAACTTATTTATATAAATAACTTGAATGATTTGTGTTTTCAAAAGCTTATAGTGTGTATCCTGAAATCCTGAATTAAAAAATCAGCTTAGTGCATGTTACTTGGGTTACTTGACACTGAGTATAAACACTGGCTTTTTAGTGTCTGTGGAATTGAGCTGAGGATTAGGACTGACCTATAATTGCCTTATTCAGATAAGGGGCAGTAAAGAAATGGTCTCTGTAGAAGTGTTTTTTGTGAGTGAAAAGGCAAAGCTTTCCTTCTCGTTACAGACCTGCTGGTTGGGACAACGAAAAGAAAATCGCCATCTTACATGAAAACTTCACGACAGTGAAACCAGAAGATGCGTACGAGGACTTCATTGTAAAACCTCCTGTAAGAAAGGTAAAAAAGGGGAAATTCTTCCCTGCCTCCTGACAAATCAATGCAGTTTGCTTGGCTACTAATAATCATTACTATTGAAGAACTCCAAATCTAAATTTAATTTTTGTTGTATCCAAATGCGTGAAGCATCAGGCTTTCATTTTCCAATGATTTAAAATAACTGCAAACAAACACCAGAGGCCTTTGTGAATGAAAGGTGGTCCAAGAATAACCATTTCAGGTGAACTTTTTTGCATGTGGGGGGCAAAAACACTTTTCAAAAAAGGAGAATATTGTTGTAGGACTTGACCAATTTCCATATGTGCACACATGGCGTTGAGGTTCCCATGCAAAGGCAAATCTTGTAAAAGAAGACAGTATATTGTTATTGCATTAACATGTTATTAATGACAGATTTCTTCATGTAAGGCAAGAGTAGTAAATAATGCATATAAATTCTGTACATTGCTGATTTTGTGACTATAGGCACATGGGAATAGGATATATGTACAATGGATAATATGGAAAATTGTAAATGAAAATACATTATAGTCTATATTGGAAGTGTTCTTTCACAACTTTCTTACATACTTAATGGTTTTAGCTCAAGCCCCAGTATTTGGAAATCAATGCTCCTTACCATGCTCCTTACCATGCTCCTTTGCTTACCATACTTAGTGGTTTTTTTATTACAACTTTAATGTTACTCTTAAAAATGAAAGTTTGTGGGGGTTTTTAAAAAGTAAAGAATAGTATTACAGATTTGCCCTTTTATTGTGGGGTTTTTTTTCCCCTTTTGATCATCAAAACAAAACCAGTTACAGTAATTTCAGCTTTTACTTCAAATAACAAAGTATTTTGTTCAACAGCTAGTCCATGACAAAGAGCTGGCAGCAGAAGATGAACAAGTATTTCTTATGAAGCAGCAGGTAAGAATGGAAGAAGGAAAATACGACCTTAGTGAATACGAGCGCACATTAAGCTCTCCACTGTTGTTGCCTTCAGTTTTTCATTCCTCATTTAAACCACTTTTCAGCTTTCCAAATTCAGCTGTAAATGTGAAATAAGACTTTTCCTTCTTTTAACAAACACTAGTAGAAAGTACAGCCACTTATCTTGTGAAGTTGGAAGGAAAATATGCTGCGAACAGAAATAACTTAAATTTCAAGGGAGAAGTGCAAGAATTTAACTTGAAATTTCACAACGTGGATGCGTTGATGTGTAAAATACAAATACTTTTAAAACATCACATCTCAGCACTGCAGTTTTCTTACAGCCAGAGGCTTAAAAGACTTTTAAGGTGTCAGATTTGGCTTTGCTGCATCTTGGGTTTGGATTTTCTTTTTACTGCTCTTGTTTAAAACACCTAATAACATTTTCCTGCCCAGCTGATGATAAATACCGTAGAGGTCACAGAGCTGGGTGTCTGTGGGTCTGGCCTCTACTTCTGGAAGGGCTGAGAGACAAAGGGCTGAAGCTCATTCCCTCATTTTAACTCTGTCCTCTAGTGGTGAAGTCTGGGAGTATGTAAATACCAAAGAGGAAGCCTGTAAATACCAGAAAAAAATTATCAAATAAATTAATGGTTAGTCAGCTTCTCTGTATTTTATTCCTTTATAGTTTCTGAAATATATTTAATGTTCTCAATCTGTTGTTTTGCAGTCATTCCTTGCCAAACAGCCAGCAACGCCGACAAGAGCATCAGTAAGTAGATCCAAGAGAGGAGTTGGGGGGTGGTTTGTCTCCTCCTCGGGGAGAGGGAGTGATTCTGACCTGCAGAGGTTCCTTTTGGAAATGTAAAATACACAGTCTCCCCAAACTGCAGAGAGTAAATTCAAAAAAGTGGCAATATTTAAAGTGTTACGTACAAATTACTTCATTCTGATTCGCTGTGGAAGCATAGAAATATCTGGTGATTATTGAACTGAAAGTTTCCTACAGAGATCCTTTCTCTTGGTGGAGACACAGGCCCAAAATATTGGGGTGTTTTCCCCAATTTGCATACACGACAGTGCCAGTATAAAGGCTTAAAAAGTAATTAATGTGTTATGTTACACTTGCTCTATGTAACTAATCCATTTAAGCCCTTCTCTGATTTGTGTGATTTGGACTTTTTTTCAGGAATCTCCTGCAAGAGGCCCTGCAGGATCCCCAAGGACTCAAGGCAGAGCTGGTCCCGCCAACGTACCCAGTGCCTCACCAATAACATCAGTTAAGAAACCAGATCCAAATATTAAAAGTATGAATAAGCATTTTACTGTTTTTTATCATGTGTTATTTCCCTTAAAAAAAATAATCCTCTTTTGTAGAAAGATTTTGGGTTTTATTCACTAGCGGTATAGCTTGTTTAGTAACAGGAATGAATTCATGATGTAGCTTTAGGTTTGATTTTTCTCCCTTTTTTTTTTTTCCCCAAATATTGTTATTTTTCAAATATTTGGATTACAATTTTGTGGCACCCCCCCTTATTGCAGAAGAGCAGTAATGTGCTTTCAGGTATCTCTGGCTTTGCCAAAGAGTGCAAAGGACAAGTGTCTTTAAATTGAACAGGGAGAGACTCTCTCATGTTGGAGGTTTATTTCCTTGATGGGTAGGAGTTACGTATGTATGTAAAAAAATAAGTTCTGTCATTTACCAGCAATAACAACTCAGTGATCTCTCTATATATTTGTTTTTTTAGATAATGCTGCAAGCGAAGGTGTCTTGGCCAGTTTCTTTAACAGTCTCCTGAGCAAAAAGACTGGTTCTCCCGGGAGTCCTGGTGCTGGAGGAGTGCAGAGCACAGCCAAGAAATCAGGTACTGGGCTCAGGCTGGTTTGTGCATCTTAATATTTCATTTGGCCCGTGTGGGTCTAACCATGTGTATCCTTTACACTGGGCAGTGAGGTGACACCTCGACCCGTGGCAGTGCCAAAGTGTGTGGTCTTTAAAAAACAAAAAGAGCTAAAAGGCTGTAACTTCACAACTCCAGGGCTTCTGTTAAGCCTCTTAGAACTTGATTCTTTGAGTGAAGTTACACTGCTGGGATAGAAATACCATTTGAGCTTTGATCATGTTCAGGAAGTGCTGATTTACATTTTTTTTAAAACTTTAGAATTCCTTCCTTTCTTAACACGGAACTGTTGCTTGAAGGAAATGCCCTTTATTGGGTTTGGATTGTAGTTTCCAGTCAAACTATTGAAATCTCTCCAGAGTTCAAGGTTAAATGAATTATTGCGTCTTATGACACCTTGAAGTTACTCCCTCATTAATTATTTAGTATTTGATTGTGATCCAACACAGCTGATAACACTGATTGGGTGGGTTCGTTCTGTGTTTGTGCCCGTGACTGCATTGGCTGAGGGATTTACTGATAAATAATTGCACGAGTTTAGGTGAAAATAAAAGAAACCCATCAAAATACTTGGCACCTGAACAAAACTCCTTGGGAAACCTGATATTAGAAACTACTACTCTGATTATTTAACTGTTTCTTTTTGACATTGGCATTCCCATTGCACTTAATGTTCAGGAGCTTCCCGTTCAGAATGATTTCACTACTAAATTATTGATAGATGATGTACTCCTGATCCCAGACGTGTGTAATCACACCCAATGCTCTGGTGATGCCACATGAGCGGTGCCTGGTGCCTGGAGGGCAGTGGGAGGCCCAGGCCCTGCAGTTCCTCACCCATCTCCTTTGCCTTTGTGTTTCTGGACTTTCTTCCCTGTGCAGACCATGATATTTCAAAGAACTTCAGTTGGTGGATTCTGTGGTAGCTATTTCTTTTTCTTTGTGTGGATTTATAGATTTAAAAAGTTATTCCGTTTCTATCCACTATAAGATTCTTGCAACTTCTAAGATTACCTGAACAAAACTCCTTGGGAAACCCAATATTAGAAACTACTATTCTGATTATTTAACTGTTTCTTTTTGATATTGCCATTCCCATCACACTTAATGTTCAGGAGCTTTCCTTTCAGAATTATTTCCCTATTAAACTATTGATAGATGAACTACTCCTGATCCCAGACGTGTGTAATCACACCCAATGCTCTGGTGATGCCACATGAGCGGTGCCTGGTGCCTGGAGGGCAGTGGGAGGCCCAGGCCCTGCAGTTCCTCACCCATCTCCTTTGCCTTTGTGTTTCTGGATGTTCTTCCCTGTGCAGACCATGATATTTCAAAGAACTTCAGTTGGTGGATTCTGTGGTAGCTATTTCTTTTTCTTTGTGTGGATTTATAGATTTAAAAAGTTATTCCGTTTCTATCCACTATAAGATTCTTGCAACTTCTAAGATTTGCTTTCACCCTTCTGTTCCTGTGCAGTAAACAGAAGTTGGGATCCCTGGGAAGAGAATACATCTAATTGTGTAGCACACATCTAATTGATGGTGTTTTTGTAGGGAAGCTGAAAGCAAGTATCAGTTTATTTCAGACCAGAGGGGAAGTTTTTATTTTCTTAAGAACAGCCCCTTGTATTCTAAAGCCGTTCCCATCCCTGATGGTGTTTTTGTTGGGAAGGTGTAAGCAAGCATCAATTTATTTCAGAACAGAGAGGAAGCTTTTATTTTCTTAAGAACAGCCCCTTGTATTTCTTCTCCTTTGAACGGTGCTCACCCGTGGTGGTGGGGAAGGGGGTGGATAAACCCACGGATCGTTGAACCCCTTGGCTCTGTTTTTCCTGCCCGGGCTGAGGTGGTTGCAGGAGGCAGCTGCTGGGTGTTACTGGTGTTATTTTGGAGGCTTAGGCACCCAGTTCATCTAGTTAAAAACAAAAAACACAAAAAAACCCAACCCAACGAACCTGTTTTTGTTTAGACCTATTTTTGTTTGAGCAAGAATTTTGTGTGGTTTTTATTGTTTTACCTTTTTTTTAACTCCAAGGTACCACAAGTTTATATGTAAAGTGTTCTCTGTTGTAAGTTATATTACAGTTAACGTACTAATTTTTAAATTTTATTCAAATACGTATCCATTGGGTAGCTGATAGCAAGAGTTCTGTGGCCAATGGCTAGTGCTTAAATCTAAAACCCTTCTAGTGATTCAAGGTAACCTTTTAACTTGATTTTTTCCAAAGTACAAAGACATAACCTCTTAAATCTCCAACAGTCCAATCTTGCCTTCTTAATGTTTTCAGCATGTACCCTGGAAAAAATCCACCTAATATTTCACACACATTTGAGCTGGAAAACAGATGCTTGTTAAATTCTTTGGCTATGTAAGGAAGCTGTACATGGTTATATAATCTACTTTTTTGTCTAAAAATACAGCTTTTTAATCTTAAATGCTTGTATGCTCTAAGCATTAGAACATATCCTTCCAATTTTAGTGATTAATTTGTCTGTGGGTTTATAATTTTCAGAAAGAGAGAATCAAACTGATGGTTCAGTGAGAGAATTGTTACAAAGTTTTGAGTCTTAATATAAAAATGTAAGATCCGCCTTTCCATGAAATGCTCCGGTGTGTCTGTTTCCAATTGAAGCCCTTTGAAAGGACTGCTCAGCGAGATTACATGAATATGCAATTCCTGTCCCCTTTTTTTGAGGGAAACATTGTCTGCAGACATAAAAGCCCTCTTCCTGGTAGTTGTTCAATATTCAAACGCGGCAAGTATCAGCGTGACCCAAGAAATGGGAGTTGTGAGCAGGTGCTCTGCCCAACTTGGAAAACTTGTGGTTAAAAGCTGGGTTTAAATGAAGCCTTTGCTCTCAGTGCTGCTAACAGAGACAGGTACAGTGGATTTTTATATAAAGTTCTGAACACGGTTGTTTTTAAAATGTTAGTTGCTGTGAAACGTATTGCAGATATTTTTGTGCTTTGTGCTGGTATCAAATTCAGCATTTCATTTCTGTAAAGTGAGTCAAACCCGAGTGTTTCTCAGTCTTTACACAGATGTTACCTTGTGCTGTGTAGGTGGGGAAATAATGAGAAATTAAATCATGTATTGTCATCTAAGAGTGATTGTACTCATTGGTTAAAACGTCTCATGGAAATGAGATGGCTTTAACCTTGTCCTTTTTGGGGTTTTTTTTAGGACAAAAAACAGTTTTGACGAACGTTCAGGAGGAGTTGGACAGGATGACCCGCAAGCCAGACTCTATGGTATCAACAACCTCTCCAACAGAGAACGAAGCTTGATAGCGCATAAAAACCCGCATATGTAAATGACCAAATAACTATGTATATTGATCTGATAAGACCAGGAATTTTCTGCTATGGCAGATGCTATCAGTTTTCTTGGGGCAGGGGAAATGAGCTTTACTACATCATTGCCTTGTCCCAGTAAAAAGTGCACATTCAGGAAGTTTGCATATAAAATCCCTCTGTATCCGATAACCATTTAGAGTTTATATAGGGCAATTCTTTGGGGTTGGGAGGTGCAGCTGCGTTTCCTGTCGCCGAGAGCACAGAGAAGCAAAATGGGAGAATTGTTATTAAAATACTACTACTGACTGCACACGAGGGGGGAGAGAGAGAAGTGAAATCCTCTTGCAGAGTGACTGGAATTGGCTACTTGTAGGTTTGCAAACGCGTTGTGTCCTTGGAGGGGGTGGTGGTGGTGGTGAAGCGGAGCATTAATGGGGTGAAAGAGGCCCAGGTGGGGAATGGAGCCCTCAAAGGGGAAAGGGATTTGGGGCAGGGAGAAACTAGAATGTGGGGTTGGCTGGAGAGGAGCGATGTCGTTACACCCTGTGGCTCACACGGGGAGGGGAATAATCACTGTTTTAAAAAGACTACTTTACGTTGGAGAATTCCAGGCCAAACACTAAGCATCATGGGAATTTATTCTTGTTATAATATAAATCTTGTTTTAGTTTTTAAAAGCAGTCGAAGAGCGTGGGTGCCCTTTCTGGTGTAGCTGACAAAGGGAGAAACTATAACTTGTTTAGATCCAAGTGCCTGGCACAGTGTGTGACGTGTCTTTAGAAGGTGCTTGAACTTATTGTGCACTGTAGTACAAACAGTCACTGTTTGGTTTTATTTTAAAATCAGTAGTTTGGCGATTTGTATTTAATTTTAAATCCTGTTTTCTGATAGCTTCTGCCTTTTTTTTTTTTTTTTTAATGCCAAGAG